CACATCTGGCGCCGCCCACATTTAAGGCGCAGCACCGGAAGCCACCCCTCTCCTCTGCCCAGGGCGCTTGCCTAACTGGGCCTAAGAGGAATGAGGAGCTAGGCAAGGGACACAGGCTCTGCCCTTCACAGCAAGCGCCCTGCACAGCCACAGGCAAAAACCTCCCCCCGCCCCCAGCCCCACCCCGCCACTGGGCCGCATCTCCAGCCCTTCCTACCCCGGCCTGCTTCTCAGGGGCCCCGAGGGAGGGGACAAAGCTTAGCTGGAGAAGGGGCCCTGCCCTGCGCCACCCAGAAGTCACAGGAGCCGTCACCTTCCTCGTTCCATGCCTCCACGGCCATGGCCAGGTTCCGGGCCTGGATCTCGCCCTTGTACACGGGGACCGACGTGTTCTGTCCCACGAAGCAGGAGATGATGTCGGTACCGCCTGCAGGGAATGCAAGAAGAAGACTTCTGGTGTTGGACGGGGCGCTGCCTGCGTCAGTGCGGCACAGCCAGAACACCCAACAGCTCTGCAGACCACTGAGGAGCGGCCAGGGCCCCCGCCACCCCCACCCCGGGCTTCCGCAGCCTGGGAGAGTCAGAAGCTTGGCCCAAGCCCAAGGGGGCTTTTTTTTTTTTTTTTTTTTTTTTTTTCCAAAACTGGGGATGTGCTGGGCACACAGGGCTGTCATCCTAGCACTCAGGAGACTGAGGCAGGAGAATGCCACAAGCTCAAGACCTGTCCCAGAACAAATACTGGACGCCAAAATACAATTTTTAAAAATAAATAAATAAATAAATAAAAAGTTATGTAATCTTTTGTGGAAGAATACTGGAGATTGAACTCAAGGTTTTTTCACACTGACTGATAGTTCAGTGGTCTAAGCTCCAGGCAAGTGCAAGGACCCAGGCTCCATCCCTGGTACTACATGCTGTGCCAGCCCTGAACCCAGGCACGATAGCACACACCTACAGTCTCACTGCTGGGGAGGCTGAGACAGGAGGACCACTAGGAGTCCGAGAGCAGCAAGGCCCTGGGGAGGCTGAGACAGGAGGACCACTAGGAGTCCGAGAGAGCAGCAAGGCCCTGGGGAGGCTGAGACAGGAGGACCACTAGGAGTCCAAGAGAGCAGCAAGGCCCTGGGGAGGCTGAGACAGGAGGACCA